TTGGGGGGTAATAATGGGATCTGAAGGAGATGCTTTTAGCACGACATCTCTTCATTTTAATCGCTCCGGGTAGAACGCTCCAGGCCCTCCAGGCCAGTCCCCATTCCAGCCGAAACCAAACCCTCGCCTCGCCGCCATGGCCGACAGCACCCGCAGCCGGGTTCGCAGGCGCCGCCTCGACGCCGGCAGGAACCGCCTCGGCGCCCTCACCGACGACGTCCTCCATCACACCCTCACCTACCTCCCCGTCACGGAAGCTGCCGCCGCCGCCGCCCTCTCCTCCAGCTGGCGCCACCTCTGGCGCTCCCACCCGCTCGTCCTCAAGGATAAAGGCATCCCCGAGCCCGAGCGCGATGCCCTAGTACCCCGAGCCCTCGCCGACCACCCAGGCCGCTTCCGCTCCGTCATCCTCTACGACTGCAGGCTCGCCTCCCTGAACCGTGAGCTCCCCGGGTGGCCGCGCCTCCTCGTCGACGGGCGCACCCAACAACTCCTTCTCGCCCACCCCAGCCACCACCTCCGTGCGTCACCTCCCTCGACCGTGAAACAGCGCGACTCCGCGCGCCTTCTTCCCGCCGACATCCTCCGCTGCGGCTCGCTCCAGGAGCTCAGCCTGGACTTCTGGACGTTCTCCGCCGACCTCTCCTGCCACGCCGACATATCTCGTCCCCAGCTCCAGATTCTCACCCTGATGAGGATTGTCATAACCGACCGGGACCTCGAGTGCTTGATCGCTGCCTGCCCCCTTCTGAAATCCCTTCGGCTCACCATGAATAGCCCCACGCATGTCCGTCTCCGCAGCAAAAGCCTCAGCTGCGCGCTCGTTGGGTTGTCCAAGGTTGAGGAGTTCACCGTGGTGGACACGCCGCTACTGCAGCGGCTCTACTTGTTCCAGCAGTTTAATGGTGGGGCAGTCAGGATCGCTTGTGTTCCCAACCTGCGCGTGCTCGGCTACCTGGACACAAGAACTCACAAGCTGCAGATTGGTGACAGCGTCATCAGGGTACGTCTCTCGGTCGATCTCCATCTCTCTCTCTCAACTTGTAATTATTCCATCCAGATTGATCCATCTATCATGTTCTCCTCTCATCGGGATGTAGCTAGTCAATGAGTTACCATAGATATTGCAGTCTCTCAAACTTATTCCATCCACATCGAGCCACATCCATGATTATGTGTTTTGTATGGTTGTATAGAACACTTGATGAGTAATGTTGTGTACCATGTCTTGGTGGACCACTTTGCAGCCGGACACAATGGTGAGTGCAAGGACCGTGGTTCCAAGCGTCGAGATATTGGCGTTAGCAGTGAATTTGGGTATCTCCGGGGAAGTTAAGATACTGGCCAGCTTCCTCAGATGCTTTCCGAACGTTGAGACGCTGCACATTGAGGTAGCTCCCAGTTCTTTCAGCCAGTCAATCATTTTATAATGGTATCATCAATATTTAGCCGAATTAGTCTCACATTGGTACCAATTTGCAATCTGCACCGCATAAGCCACCTGTAACTTCCAGTGAACCCAGTGGGGAGCATCATGCCAGGTTCTATCAGGAGGTCAGTCAGGTTGATTGCTTGAGAGCACATGCCAAGAAGATGGTTATTCACGATTTCCGAGGGGATCAAAATGAATTTGAATTCGTCAAGTTCGTCGCCAAGAATGCCCAGGAGCTACAGTTCTTTCTGGTTGTTGTGTCGGACGAAGGGATCTTGTCTTCAGCTGACAAGGTGAAGGAGATAAAAGACGAATTGCAGTATGTACAGTTTCGCGCAGGTATCTCTGCAGTGTTATGGGAGTTACCTAAAGCAGGCATTCTTTATCGCTTGAAGAGAGCAGCCGATCTTGCAATCAACGACCCTTTTCAGTGTTGAATCCATGGTTAATACACTGTGGTTTACATGCTTGATCCATACCTTTTGAGGAATCATTGACTGTTCTCTGCAAGATCTTGCTGTTTAGTTTCTTGTAGGCATGCCCTTATCTTGAGACGATATGTCTGAGTTTTTCAACTACCATGACTATATGTAGAAATTGAAGGTAGCAGAAGTATACGAGAACCTAGTGTTATTTTCATGTGTCTGCAATATATGCCAGCGATGTGCTTCTAGATATGGTGCGCTGATTTGTAGCACGTCTTAGGTGCCATTTTGTTTGCATTGCTTATGTAGAATGTCACCTCTGTCAGTTTCGTTAACTATCATTTGATGGTCAGAGTATACTGAGCTTGGTTGGCCTGGATCAGGATGGCGAAGGCTATACGTTGTTCTGCTTGTGTCCCCATGTTTGTGCATCATGCTTTGATGACAAGTGTATCGTACAAGTATTCAATTGAAAAAAGTGTTCAATTGAATTGGATGCATGGTTTGAGTGTTAGGGACATTTAAGTTCAAACTAAATTTGAAATATCTGAAACGGGTGGATATATGATGTCTAATGGGTATGGTTCTCGACAAGATTCAATATGCAAAAAGAATTATTACACTTGGGTCAAGGGTTTGCAAGATATGATAGAACAAGGTGTGAATTCAGGGTTCGTGAATTAAAATTGTTGGTGCTATTGAATACTCAAGGTCAATATGAACGTTTAGGTAAAAGAATCACTAAGTTTGGTTTAATAGAGAAAAGCACACGGTTAAAACAGAAATGAATTGAGTCTATCAAAATCCCTACCATGGAAGAGAGAATGGTTGCCATGCCAACACTTTTTATATTGACGGTAGAATTTTGCTATGATCAAGATTACTTGTCGGAAACCTAATTTAAATGGCTCTACTTCAAAGAGGGCCTCATAAGGATCACTTTGCAGCAACTTTCACCCCATTTTTACATGTGGTTTGTAAACTGGGTTCAAACATAATTTGAATTCAAGTTTGAAAGGTTCAAATTTGTGCAATTATGGCTCTAATGGATGCTAGTGATCATAATGCAAATGGAATCACTCAATTTGGATTCATGATTTTCGAACTAGGGCTCACTAAGGATTCAAATTTGGGAGTTGAAATGTTGGAATACCTAGGTGATTTCCCCGCATGTTGCTGCGGGAATTCAAAGATTATTTTGGATGAATTATGTATGAACAAAATGACCCAAATGAAAATATATTGTTTTTGGGAGTAATTATGTGTGAGCAAAGAGTATGCGCGTATGTTGGACCATTGGAGTTGACACAAATTGGGGTATGCATGTGCTACAAAATAGTGTTAGCGGATGATGATGTGTCACATTCAGTGATGTGGAAGGCTGCATGTTGAGGTAATTAGAGTTAGTACGAAATGAACTAAATCAAAAGATGATATTTTTTGGAATTAATTGTGTGTGAACAAAGAATGTGCATGTAGGCTAGACCAACTGACTTGCCATAATCAAATTGGGGGTATGTATTGTTGGGGAACGTAGTAATTTCAAAAAAATTCCTACGCACACGCAAGATCATGGTGATGCATAGCAACGAGAGGGGAGAGTGTTGTCCACGTACCCTCGTAGACCGAAAGCGAAAGCATTAGCACAACGCGGTTGATGTAGTCGTACGTCTTCACGATCCGACCGATCAAGTACCAAACGCACGGCACCTCCGAGTTCTGCACACGTTCAACTCGATGACGTCCCTCGAACTCTGATGCAGCCGAGTGTTGAGGGAGAGTTTCGTCAGCACGACGGCATGGTGACGATGATGATGTTCTACCGACGCAGGGCTTCGCCTAAGCACCGCTACGATATGATCGAGGTGGATTATGGTGGAGAGGGGCACCGCACACGGCTAAGAGATCAAGAGATCAATTGTTGTGTCTTTGGGGTGCCCCCTGCCCCCGTATATAAAGGAGTGGAGGAGGGGGAGGGCCGGCCCTCTCTATGGCGCGCCCTAGGGGAGTCCTACTCCCACCGGGAGTAGGATTCCCCCTTTCCTAGTAGAACTAGGAGCCCTTCCAAGTATTAGGAGTAGGAGGGAAGGAAAGGGAAGGGAAAAGGAGAAGGAAGGAAGGGGGCGCCCCCCTCCCTAGTCCATTCGGACCAGCCCATGGGGAGGGGTGCGGCCACCCTTTGAGTCCTTTCTTTCCTTTCCCGTATGGCCCATTAAGGCCCAATACGAATTCCCGTAACTCCCCGGTACTCCCGAGAATACCCAAATCACTCGGAACCTTTCTGATGTCCGAATATAGTCGTCCAATATATCGATCTTTATGTCTCGACCATTTCGAGACTCCTCGTCATGTCCCCAATCTCATCTGGGACTCCGAACTCCTTCGGTACATCAAAACACATAAACTCATAATATAACCGTGATCGAACTTTAAGCGTGCGGACCCTACGGGTTCGAGAACTATGTAGACATGACCGAGACACGTCTCCGGTCAATAACCAATAGCGGAACCTGGATGCTCATATTGGCTCCTACATATTCTACGAATATCTTTATCAGTCAAACCGCATAACAACATACGTTGTTTCCTTTGTCATCGGTATGTTACTTGCCCGAGATTCGATCGTCGGTATCTCAATACCTAGTTCAATCTCGTTACCGGCAAGTCTCTTTACTCGTTCCGTAATACATCATCCCGCAACTAACTCATTAGTTGCAATGATTGCAAGGCTTATAGTGATGTGCATTACCAAGTGGGCCCAGAGATACCTCTCCGACAATCGGAGTGACAAATCCTAATCTCGAAATACGCCAACCCAACAAGTACCTTCGGAGACACCTGTAGAGCACCTTTATAATCACCCAGTTACGTTGTGACGTTTGGTAGCACACAAAGTGTTCCTCCGGTAAACGGGAGTTGCATAATCTCATAGTCATAGGAACATGTATAAGTCATGAAGAAAGCAATAGTAACAAACTAAACAATCAAGTGCTAAGCTAACGGAATGGGTCAAGTCAATCACATCATTCTCCTAATGATGTGATCATGTTAATCAAATGACAACCCATGTCAATGGTTAGGAAACTTAACCATCTTTGATCAACGAGCTAGTCAAGTAGAGGCATACTAGTGACACTCTGTTTGTCTATGTATTCACACATGTATTATGTATTAACCGGAAACATAATACATATGTGAATACATAGACAAACAGAGTGTCACTAGTATGCCTCTACTTGACTAGCTCGTTGATCAAAAATGGTTAAGTTTCCTAACCATTTACATGGGTTGTCATTTGATTAACATGATCACATCATTAGTTGAATGATCTGATTGACATGACCCATTCCATTAGCTTAGCACCCGATCATTTAGTATGTTGCTATTGCTTTCTTCATGACTAATACATGTTCCTATCACTATGAGATTATGCAACTCCCGTTTATCGGAGGAACACTTTGGGTACTACCAAACGTCACAACGTAACTGGGTGATTATAAAGGAGTACTACAGGTGTCTCCAAAGGTACATGTTGGGTTGGCGTATTTCGAGATTAGGATTTGTCACTCCGATTGTCGGAGAGGTATCTCTGGGCCCTCTCGGTAATGCACATCACATAAGCCTTGCAAGCATTACAACTAATATGTTAGTTGTGAGATGATGTATTACGGAACGAGTAAAGAGACTTGCCAGTAACGAGATTGAACTAGGTATTGGATACCGACGATCGAATCTCGGGCAAGTAACATACCGATGACAAAGGGAACAACGTATGTTGTTATGCGGTCTGACCGATAAAGATCTCCGTAGAATATGTAGGAGCCAATATGGGCATCCAGGTCCCGCTATTGGTTATTGATCGGAGACGTGCCTCGGTCATGTCTACATTGTTCTCGAACCCGTAGGGTCCACACGCTTAAGGTTACGATGACAGTTATGTTATGAGTTTATGCATTTTGATGTACCGAAGGTTGTTCGGAGTCCCGGATGTGATCACGGACATGACGAGGAGTCTCGAAATGGTCGAGACATAAAGATTGATATATTGGAAGCCTATGTTTGGATATCGGAAGTGTTCCGGGTGAAATCGGGATTTTACCGGAGTACCGGGAAGGTTACCGGAACCCCCCGGGAGCTAAATGGGCCATGATGGGTCTTAGTGGAAAAGAGAAGAGGCAGCCCTACATGGTCTGTGCGCCTCCCCCTTCCCCTAGTCCTATTAGGACTAGGAGAGGTGGCCGGCCCCCTCTCTCTCTTTCCCCCCTCCGCCAATCCTATTCCAACTAGGATTGGGGGGGGGGGGTCCTACTCCCAGAGGGAGTAGGACTCTCCTGGCGCACCCCTTGTGGCCGGCCAGCCTCCCCCCTTTGGTCCTTTATATACTGAGGTAGAGGCACCCTAGAACACACAAGTTGATCCACATGATCTATTCCTTAGCCGTGTGCGGTGCCCCCAGCCACCATAATCCTCGATAATACTGTAGCGGAGTTTAGGAGAAGCCCTGCTGCCGTAGCGCATCAAGACCGTCACCACGCCGTCGTGCTGACGAAACTCTTCCCCGACACTTTGCTGGATCGGAGTCCGGGGATCGTCATCGAGCTGAACGTGTGCTCGAACTCGGAGGTGTCGTAGTTTCGGTGCTTGATCAGTTGGATCGTGAAGACGTACGACTACTTCCTCTATGTTGCATCAACGCTTCCGCAGTCGGTCTGCGTGGGTACGTAGACAACACTCTCCCATCTTGTTGCTATGCATCACATGATCTTGCGTGTGCGTAGGAATTTTTTTGAAATTACTACGAAACCCAACGGTGGTATCAGAGCCAGGTTATTTATGTTGATGTTATATGCACGAGTAGAACACAAGTGAGTTGTGGGCGATATAAGTCATACTGCCTACCAGCATGTCATACTTTGGTTCGGCGGCATTGTTGGACGAGACGACCCGGACCAACCTTACGCGTACGCTTACGCGAGACCGGTTCCCCCGACGTGCTTTGCACACAGGTGGCT